TGTGTGTGTGTGTGTGTGTGTTGAGGGGGGATGCATACCACAGCACTCATGTGGAGGTCTGAGGACAACTTTACGTGGCTTCTGGGCATTGGATTTGGGTCTCCGGGCTTGTACAGCACACATAGCCCTGGGCCATCTCACCAGCCCCGAGAGTCTTGCTTCTTAAGGCCTGGGATGGCAATACTCAAACACTGTAACAGTCTGGATTTTTATATTTAAATAATGAGCCCACACACATAATTTTAGTCCTTCATCTGAGGTGTGTGTCATCTGGCTTTTTCCAATGGTTTAGCAGGTTATCCCACAGCTGTTAGTTTTATAAACCATCTTGCCTCATCCATTTGATGTTCTGCTTATATCCCTGACTGAACTCTTACATCTGTGTGATGCTATTTCTAGGATCCTATGTTTTCATGGATCTATGCAGTTCTGTACAAATCAATAGGATTCTATTTTGATATCTGGAAAGCTAAGCCTACAACATTACTTTTCTTTTACAGAACTTGTCAGAACATACTAGTTTATCTTTCCAGATAAACTTTAGAATTTGCATGTTGTTTTAAATTTTTTTGTTTATTTATATTAAATATTCATTTCATTTTGTGTGCACATGCATGCACAAATGCGTTCAGGTGCCTGTGGAGGCCCGAAGAGGGCATCAGATCCCCTGGAGTTCAAGTTACGGCTAGTTGTGAGCTCCCCACAGAGAGGCTGGGAACCTAACTCTGGGCCTCCAAAAGAAACAGCAAGTTCACTTAACCACTGAGCCATCTCACCATACTCAATTTTAAAAAAAATCTATTGGCATTTTGATTAAAGAGAGAGGATCAGCCTCTTTCACGTATGAATTGTCCCTCTCTGGGGGCATAATATAATTTCCTAAGTGCTTTCTCTTATGCCTGGGGGCTCTATGGTCTTTCTTTTATAGCCTCTACCCATTTCTTGCTCAGGTTATTCCTCATGTAGTATTCTTCTTGTTGTGGTGAGTCTATCTCTCTCTCATTGCAGTTGGAAAGAATGTGTGGCCAATGTAACAGGAAGCTACTGATTTATATGTGTTAATTATCCAAGTATTCATCCATTTCTTAAAAGTTAACATTTGAAAACATATCATAAAAAGTATGCATTTGCCTTCTGACTGGCCGCTGAACTAAGGCCTTGACTGTGTTTCTTACCCGCCTGACTGGGGCATCATCTTACATGTTTTATGCACACAAAGATGTATGGGTGTGTGTCTGTTTTCTGAATAGCACCTGGAGATGTTTTTGCACACACGAAAGACTGTTTAGCAGGGTATTGAACTACTTTTCCCCTTGAAAGCCAGAGATCATGGGAGACAGTCCATGGAGGCCGTGGCTCGTCTGCTCTGCTGGTAGCTTTGCTTTCTCCTCCTCTTTCTTATAGTTAATCATTAGTGTGGCCTCTCCAAAAGCAGCTTCCATGTGAAGGACCTGGAGACACTATGAGCAACGGTGTATTATCAGCATAATTGTGTGTGTGTGAGGGAGTATTGAGACAGGGTTTCATTGTGTAGCCCTGGCTATCCTGGAACTCACTATGAAGACTAGGATGGCCTTGAACTCACGCAGAGATCCACCTGCCTCTGCTTCTGCCTCTTTTTTTTTTTTTTTTTTTTTTTTTTTTTGGTTTTTCGAGACAGGGTTTCTCTGTGTAGCTTTGCGCCTTTCCTGGAACTCACTTTGGAGACCAGACTAGCCTCGAACTCACAGAGATCCGCCTGGCTCTGTCTCCCCAGTGCTGGGATTAAAGGCATGTGCCACCACTGCCCAGCCATCTGCTTCTGCCTCTTGAGCAATGGGATTAAAGGTGTGCACCACCACGCCTGGCTAAGCATGATCTTTTTTAAGGGAATGTTTCAATGAACCAGATGTGAGAGTCAGGAGGGATTTGGGATTAGATATGCAATGCTTAAGACAAAGCCAAGCTTCTTGCCAACTCTGATGTCACGGCTTGAGCATTCCTAACCTGGAAGTCCAAAACTTGAAATGCTCTAACACGCACAATTTTCTGAGCACTATCTTGATTCGATAAAATTCCACACCTGTCTTCATGTGACAGGTCATAGTCAAAACATAGGCACACTGAAATTATCTTTGGGCTAAGATGATGAGGTACATATGAGACAAAATGAATTTCATGTTTACCATCGCCAAGTTATCTCATCATCTACACATCCAAAATCTGAAGGGGGAAATCATGGAGTTAGAAACACTCTGGTCCCAAGCATTTCTGGTAAGGGGTACTCAGCCTGTATCTCATTCTATATGGATGTTCTATTCTGTGTGGCTGTCACAGGGCTAAGAAAGCCACAGAAGATAAGGGCCTGAGCCCATCCCAGCAGCATGTAAATATCACTGGTTTATTTATTTTGAGACAGAGTCTCACTGTGCGATTTAACTCAACATTCTTTTTCCTCAGCCACCCAAGGAGCAGGGATTACAGACACATGCAACCACACTTGGTTTATCAGTGAGTTTATTAATAGATTCAGAGGTGGCCAGAGCCAAAAGAGACATCATCTGGTCATGTAGTTCAACCTCTGATTTCTCCCTTGAAGTCAGGCCTCAAAAAGTTTGAATAAGTTTTGCCCCAGGTTTCTGGATAGTGAGTATCCAATCCAAACCTAAACTTCTGTACGGGCTATTTCATAATTAGTTACATCCTCAGATAGCTAGCACATTGCCTCACAGCTCAGTAAGTCTGCACAAATGAAATTAACCAGCTTACCTGAGGAGGTGGAGTCTCATTAGAAGTAGTTTGTAGCCGGGCAGTGGTGGTGCGTGTCTTTAATCCCAGCACTCAGTAGGCAGAGGCAGGTGGATCTCTGTGAGTTCGAGGCCAGCCTGGTCTACAGAGCAAGTTCCAGGTCAACCAAAGCTACACAGAGAAATCCTATCTTGAAAAACAAAACAAAACAAAAATGTAGTTTGTATTTTGGTTAGAAGTAAAAACTAGATGGCCAGGAAAGCTTGGAGCTTGTTGGAGGAGTAGCCAGATTTGGTCATCACAGGGAGTTTTTCACTGAGACAATGGTGCCTCCCCTGGCAGCCTGGAGGTGAGTGGCTGCTGAAGACACTGTCCTTGTTCCTCACAGCCTCCCTGCTTAGACACGTCCCAGACGGTGGACCCCTTTATCCTGGATGTCATCACTTACTATGTTCGCATGGGCACCCAACCCATCTATTTCCACCTCTACAAGGTTAAGGTAAGTGTTTCCCCTGGGGTTCCAGGGGACCATGCCAGCCTGCAAGACCCCGTTAACCACCATGTCAACCCTCTGGCTCTGCGGAGATAGCAGTCACTAGGCTGCAAATGAGTTCCTGCCTGCTCTTAACAACTTGGTCTTCGTGGTGTCTGGACAAACCAGGTCATTATTAACTTCAAAGACCTCAAACTCAAGCAGAAGGTTGGGAGTCAGGGGTAGGCTGCTCTGAACTGTCTTCCATCCTCTGGTTACAAATTCCCAGTGCACTCTCATTTTTCTCTCCCACCACGCCTGTCTTCAGCCTCCTGGAGACCTTCAGATCCCTGTATTTTCTCACATCTGCCCTCCGCTGTTACCTCCTTTTCTTTCTTTCTAGTCAGCTCTTCATCTGAACTAGTCTGTTGCCTCGTTTGCTCCCCACCCCCTTCTTTTCCTTTTCTCTTCCCAGCAAAACACAAACCCAGTAGGACCATATACCCTTCCGAGGCCCACCTGGAAAAAAGAATCCAAGACCGTTTGGCACAGCTTCATCCTGGCCCGCGGAGATCCCTGGCCAGTTTCCTCTTCCTCTGAGACAGTGGCTATTCATCACTTTCCTCAAGCCCTTCCCTTCAGAGAGTGACTTTCCTCCCGTGAGGTCCCCTGAATGTCCTGTCCATATCCAAAATGCACCACACCCTTTCCAAGCCTCACAGGACCTCTCCTCGTGCACACGGACCTTCTCCAGTTCAGTGAGAACTTCTTCATCTAGGCCTTTGCCCAGACTGATGCCCCTTCTCCTGGATCTTCCTTCTCAGCCATGCACTTCTACCTGTCTCCATCATTTGCACTTGCTCACCCAAAACCAGAACAACGGTGTTCTGAACCCATGAAATTTTGGTCCATTTCCCGTTAGGGTGTGTATAACATTGAACTTCAAGGATCAGACTTTCTCCAGCTCTTGATTTCCTTTCCTACTGTGTTTTCAAGTTCCATACCTTTGATGGCAATAACCGTGGAAGAGAATTTAGCTTTAAAATCCTTCCTCCAGTTTCCCAAATGGCCTGTCTCTTATCAGTTGATGGTAGGTAGGTAGGAGCCATTTGGAGGCATGGTTTTCTTCCTTTTCGGTCCTAAGGTTAATTAGCTTTCCATTGAGTAGTTTTCTTAGTGGTCCTCACTGGGGGACACAGGAAGTGGCTGGCACACACCTACAAACTGGCTTGATCCTGCCCAAGGCCTTAAAGCTAAAGTACAGGATGGACTGAGTCCTGGTGTCCAGCAGACAGCGAAGCTGCGGGGTAGGACTCCTGAGTCCCCGGCCAGGGATGGAGAGAATCTGCTCTCTACCTCGCCTGGACTCGGCTGCTCCTTTAGACTTGCAGAATCCTCCTGCAGATTCCTGCTCTGCTTTGCATCACATCCAAAGGTTCTGTTTTCCCCCAGAATGTTCAAATATGTTTCAAGCTCATTAACTTAACGTGGGTACCAGTCAATGTCACAGGAAAAAAAGATGGTTAGTAATTTATGTAAGAAATTAAGCATTTGGATTACCTTGAGATTCATCATCATGCCAGACTTGGTAGTGCACACCTGTAATTCCAACCCTTGGGAGGTTGAAGCACGAAGAAATAGCATTAAGACGTGTCATACACAGCCACAAACAGTCACATCAATTACTTCATGTTCCACGTGAACATGAACATGAGGGGCTGGAGAGATGGCTCCGTGGTTAACAGCACTTGTTCTGTTGGAGGACCTGGGCTTGATTCCCAGCACCCACCTGGTGGTTCACAACTGTCCATAACTCCAGTTCTAGGATGCACATGATACTGACATATATTTGAGCAAAACACTCATACACATTAAAAAAAAACTTTTATTTATTTCTTATTTTTATTTTATTCTATTTGTTTACTTGTTTGGGGTTTTATTTATTTATTTATTTTTGGGGGACAAAGTCTCTTTATGTAGTTCTTGGCTGCCCTGGAACCTCCTATATAGGCTAGGCTGGCCTTGAACTCACAGAGATCTGCTTGCCTCTGTCTTTGCCTGAGTGCTGAGATCAAATGTATGTGCCACCACACCCAGATTAAAATGAATCTTTAAAAAAGAAGAAAATGACAAGTACAAGTCACATACACATACATATATATATGGCTATGACATGCCTTTTTATGATACATTGTGAAACTATGTTAATTAGGTTAGTTCATGTGCACATTACTTCACTCTTACATTTCATGGCACAAACATCACAACCTACTTGAGCTTTTAGTAAAAATACATGTTGCTATGAGCTATAGTCACACATTGTACAGTTCCTCGCTTGACCTTGGCTCCTCCTATGAAGCCGAGATTTTGTGTCTTTTACCAGTATGTGGTGGATAGGTTTGACCAGAATCAGTACCTCCAGATTCCTCCTCTCCATTCTTTTGTTTCTGGAAGGACTGACGCAAGTGACAGGAACTTTTCAAACCAGTTTAGGACTGGGGGTGTCTCTTAGCTTACACTGCTGAAATCAGGGGAGGGGAGGTCAGGACTGATGTGGCCATCACTCTCTGTAGCTCAGAACCTAGCATTGGCAGGTGGGTGGGTGGGACTCCTCCGGTTGTAGGTCAGAAGCTTTCTCTAAGCCCTCCTTCCTTCCCTCCCTCCCTCCCTCCCTCCCTCCCTCCTTCCCTGTCCCTTCTTGTCTCTAGATCTTCACCAACCTGAGTCACGACCCTACAGAGGACATTTTCCTCACTGAGCTGAAAGTGAAGATCCAAGACTCCAAGTCCCCCAAAGGTGAGTTTCTGTTCCCCTTTTCCCAGAGCTCACCCTGGCTCAGCTTCCCCCACACTCACTCTCTTGCTTCTCACCTGATGTCACCCCCATGGTCACCCTGCTGCATCTAGGCCCTCTGCTGAATGCCAGGGCCACACTTATCTCTCTACCTTAGAGCACTCCCAGTCTTCCCAAGATCCTACTGTTATGATATATTGCACAGGGAACCCCAAGAGTATCCTGCATGTTCAGGGAAACATGCTAGCATGCTGGGCAGATGCAGCAGCAGCAGGCTGGCAGGGCAACCCACACCTGCGGCCGGGCAGTGGCGGACAGTCATTCATGACCCAGATCCTGCATCCGAATGGAAATGGTTTATTATAACAGAGAGATGAAGAGAAAGATAGGAAAGAGGGAGAGTAGAGAGAGAGAGAGAGGAAGAGAGAGGGGTCAAGGGTGCACACTTCAGGGAGGAAAAGCAGAAGAGAGAGGAAGGTGAGGAGGGGCCTTTCCCCAAAATGAGGCATTGCTAACATTAGTTTCTAAGGGGTGGGTCAGAGCGCTAACAACCACCTCTCCACCCAGGGACAGCTGCCAGGTCTATTCAGCAGCTATGCCTCGGTGTCACGGGGGAGGGGATCTCACCTTCTCTTGTCTCCCCTCAGAGGGCTCTTCACCCCGAAGGAAAGGGGCGCCTGAGGGCACAGGAGCTGAGCTGTCCGTGTGCTACCAGAAGGTCAGTGTCATTGGCATAGCCAATGAAAGCCAGCCTCTGGGATATGGGGGTTGGAGACAGAGCCAAAAGAAGCCCCGCTCCCCTGTCTTGACGACATCCTCAGACTCTTTCAGCCCCCAGCACATTCTGCAAGGATGGAGCAAGGGTGAAGTTGACCTTACTCGCTAACAAGGAGGCAATGTGCTCTAAGAAATTAGAGGTTGGGTGGGCATGGCAGTGCATGTTGTTAAGCCCTGTAGAAGCAGAGGCAGGCGGATCTCTGTGAGCTTGAGGCCAGCTAGAACTACACGGTGAGACCTTGTCTTTAAAGAAAAGAAAAAAAAGAAAAAAGAAAGGAAATAAGGAAAGAAGGAAGGAAGGAAGGAAAGGAAAGGAAAAAAGCTGATTTCTTGCTCAAAAACTTCTTCCTTATGAGCTACCCATCTAGAAGTCCGAAGGGCTCCTTGGGGACCAGGGATGTCTAAGCCTCTGTCCACAGGTCCCTTATTGGCATCAGTACCGCAAGGAGACTCTCAGGACAAGGAGAAGTGGGACTTGAAGATATGGGGGAGGGCATGTTCTCAGGACCCCCTCTTTAGCTCTTCAATTCCCATCCCCAGGCCCTGCTCAGTCACAGGCCCCGAGATGTCACTGTTTCTCTGAGGGCCACCGGGCTGGTCCTGAAGGCCATTCCAGCTGGTGACACTGAAGGTGAGGAGCTGGGAATGCGGAGTGAAGAGATGGGTGGGATGAGGAGAAAGTCGGGGAGGAAAGGGGAACAGGGCTGGTTGATAGGGATGGGGAAGCTGGGGTGGGGGGTTGGGGTCTCACAGCTTCCCTGCCATCAAAGAGCTCTAGTTGGGAAGAGCTGAGGCCCGATTGCCTTGAATAAAGCAAGACCCCTGCCCTCCGGTGGTCCACTGCCAAACAATCCAGACCATCCCAGCCTTGGAACTGGGGCTCCATAGCTGGAAGGTAGAAGGACCTAGGGATGGGAGCAGAAGGCCTCTCCACTCTGAATTAGGCCTACAGAGCTGGCAGCTTGCTGCTGGGAAATGTTGGACTTTCTAATTTGTTCCAAAATGAAAACAAATGAATGAATGAAATGAAGTATAGAAACCAGCTCCTCTAGACATAGCACATCCTCAACATGAGCTGTCACCAAGAGCTCTCTGGTCCCCTGCAAGGAGGAAGAGGTGGCTGGCGGGCGACACAAGTTACCAGCACCAGGCACGTTTCCCAGGAGCTGACAGCATTCTGTTAGATGCAGCACCTCTCTTCTGAGCACGTGAACTCCCTGAGATATTATTATCAGTTTTCCTAACTCCTGCCTGATAGGGAACAGAAGCAAAGACAGCAACTTCCTCGAGGTCACCTCTGTAAGGGTTCAAAGCCAGGCATCCTCACTCCTCTCCGCTGTCCCACAGTGTCTCTGAGAACTGCTAAATTCCACAACTGAGGCTTCAGGGCTGTGACCCACACAGACTTTGGGAAGACCATTTCCGAGCATATAAGAAAGTTCACCGCGGCAGAAATATATCTGTTCACCACTCTCCCACAGTACCTAGGACGTGCCTGGCACACAGCAGCTGCTCAGGAAGCTAGTGGCATGGTCCAGGCCTATCATCCCAGTGCTTGGGAGGCTGAGGCAAGAAGGTCATAAATTCAAAGCTTGGGCTACATTACAAGTCCTTGTCACAGACAAACAAGCCTTCAATAAACATTTGCTGAATAAAGGAAACAATGTTTTACACCCACAAATGTGTCTTAAAGACACACAAGATGCAAGACAGCATCTTGCAATGTGGGCCAGGCTGGTCTCGAACTTGCCATCCCCTTGCCTAGACTCCTGCAGCAGTGTTCTTACAGAGGCATCTGACACAAAAGGAAGAAACTCCAGACATATAGTACTTTCTGATAAGGCCGCTTCCAGGCCAATTGAACTTTTAGGTGACATGTAACCCTCTGTCATATTCTAGAAAGACGTTCTTTCCTTATAGCATGTTAGCATCATGAAGGAGACTCAGTTCTGCTTGTGGCTCATGATCTGGAGGCGGCTGTGAAGCAGTGGACCGGGAGGGCAGGGCAGAGCTGGGTGGGCAGAAGTCACACCCCTTTCTTGCCGGTTGCTATCTGTGTGGCTTTGGTGAGTGATGTGTCACTTTTATACGTTTAAATAGAAGATGCAGGTAATAGACACTTGTTCATGCGCACATGGTAAACTACAGACGTTAGTCCTGCCCATGGGGAGCCTGGTGGTAGACACCTGTAACCCCAGCAAACCTCAGGACGGGGCAGGGGGGCAAGGGGGGGGGAGGCAAGGGGATCAAACCAGGTCATCCTTGGTTACATAGTAAGTTTGAGGCCGGATAGGACTATATGAGACCCTGCCAAAGAAGGGGAGGAGGGGAAGAGGGAAGAGGGGAGAGAGGGCAAGTATTGTATCCCTTCTTTTTCCTTCATAAGATTCTCACTTGTATTCTAACCCCGAGCCCATTACAGAGGTGAGACCAGAGCTACCCAGAAGCACAAACTCTCTAAGCATCATCTTTAGTTGGCAGAGGGAGCTTAAACCTGGCAGTGGTCACACATGGTGACTTTTTGATGCAGTGTACACTATCAAGAAGTGGATTGGAGTGGGGACTAGGGATGTGACTTGCTGATAAAATGTTTGTCTGGTACCTTTGAGGCCCCAGATTCAATCCCCAACACTGCTCAATGCATTGTTTAAAAAAATTACAAAGAGGGCTGGAGAGGTGGCTTAGTGGTTAAGAGCACTGGCTGCTCTTCCAGAGGACCTAGGTTCAATTCCCAACACCCACATAGCAGCTCAAAACTGTCTGTTCCAGGGGTTCCCACACCCTCACACAGGCACATATTCAGGCAAAATACCAATGCACATAAGATAAAAATTAATAAATTATTTTTTAAAAAATTACAAAGAAAGGAAAGCCCAGTGTGGTGGCGTACACCTTTAATCCCGGCGCTCAGGAAGCAGAGGCAGGCGGAGCTGTGAGTTCCAGGCCAGTCAGGGCTAAGTACCAGGGCTGCATAATGATACTGTTTTCTCATTATGTAGCCCTGTGGGAGAGGTGATCACCACGGGTTGAGAAACTTGGTTGATTCTCCAGGGAAGGAGATGGGAGAGGAAGAAAACAGAAGCGTGGTTAGGACCAACATGGAACCCAGAAGTGGAGGCCGCAGGGCGGGATTACCTGGAAGCAGAGGGCTTCTTAGGACCCAGAATCTCCGGCCTCCCACTCACATACCCCTCCCATCTCACTTGGTTTCAGGGCTCTCCCACTGCACCTCACCAAATGCTGCTTCTGCTCCGGACTGCACGTGTCTGCACGTCAGTGTCACCGAGGTCGTCAAGTCCTCCAATCTGGCAGGAAGGTCGTTCACGGTGAGTTCTGGAACGGGGGGGGGGGGGGGACAGGCAGTCGTTGAGGGAGCCCAAGGGGGAGGGTATTCAGGGGAAGGGCGCTGACTGGTGGCCCTTCACTCCTGCTGTGGGGCTTTACCCTCTGCTGGTGTAAGAGAGGCGCCGAGCCTGTCTTCCATCTGCAGCCCATTTGAGGACTAAGCCATCCCCTGACAACCAACCACATTTGCCCACATACACCACCCCGGCCACTGCCCTGCAACCAGACTCGGACATGACAGACGGCACCCATGCAGCTCCCTCGACTTCATTGCTTCTCTGGCCCCGCCCCCTCGCTCCTTGGCTTTGCCTTAACTGATGTTTAATGATCAAGGTTTGAGACTCACCAGCTTCTCCCGCTGATGGCTCCTCTCAGCTCCCACTCAACTCGACCTCAGAGCCCCACGATCCCACCTGAACTGTGCTCCCACTGACATGGACGCCTGTGCACCACCCGCCAGACAGGCTGAGTGAGGAGAGGTTCTGAAATAAATCCTGCGCCCACACTGACCCGGCCCCAACGAACTCCTGCTCACCCTCGATGTCACTCAGTCCCTTTCCTGGTGGTCCTTGGCGTCTCTTTTTCTCTTTCTCTGCCTTGATCTCTCCCGCTTCCCTGCTCCTTCCTCTACAGACAGGCTAGGGGTCTCCTCTCCATCCTAGAAACAGACAAGAAACTCTATCTTGGCCGGGTTTTCTTCCTGGCCACCAGCCGCAGGTTCTTTCTCCCGTCTGGGTCAAGCTTTTAGAAAGGCACTTCTAGGGGTCTGAGGTCCAATCCATGGTGCCTTTGCTCACACACTATTGCTGTCAGCTTATCCCACTGCAGCTAAGTCACCTCCCTGCTGCAAAGCCGATGTCCCTTTTCACTCCTTCCATTTCTTTACTGCAAGGTCATGTTTTCATCTCTAGGTAAAAAGTGTCATTGTTTATTTTGGGTCAAAAGGTCAGTGCATGGTTAGGATGACTGGTGACTTTTTCTTTTTTTCAGTATAGATACTTTGGTTTTTTTTCATTATGTATATTTTTATAGAATTGATAGATACATACAGTGGATAATGGTCTTTAGCAATACTTTTGCTCAAAAATATGATAAGTAGGCTGGGAATGGTAGTGCGTGCCTTAACCAGCACTCTGGAGGCAGAGACAGGTGGGTCTCTGTGAGTTCAAAGCCAGCCTGGTCTACATAGTGAGTTCCAGGTCAACTAAGTTTATATAGTGATACCCTGTTGTAAAAACAAAATAAAATAAATATATATATATATATATAACATATATATTTCATATATGTGAAAGACTTGTGCGTCTGTCCTGATGGGACCTTGTTTATGTCATTAAATATTATTTCATAATGGTTGCATATACTTATATGATCATTGACATGTTTTTTGTAAGGTTAAATGATCTTCTTTCACTACTATAAGCATACTGTGGGGTTAAACAGATGCTAAAACTCATGATTATGCCTTTAAAAACTTTCCCTGGTGAGCTGGCATCTGGACACCTGGACGTTGTACCACACTGGTCTCCAAGCCCCTCCACTGCCATGTGTGGCCACCGGTTTTGGAAGGCAGTCAGTACACTAGCTAGCATGTTTCATCTTTGTGAATCTGATCATCAAAATTTCCATTGTTTTAATCTGGATTTCTGTCACTCCAAATTAGTGAGGCTGATTTTTCTCATATTTACCAGTAATCTTTATTTCTTTATTTCCTGTTTATGTGCTCACCCATACTGATACCATGGTATCCTTGTCTTATATTTTGTCTCATATTTTCCCAATTTTTTTTTTTTTTTGAGACAGGGTGTCTCTGTGTAGTTTTGGTGCCTGTTCTGGATCTCACTCAGTAGACTAGGCTGGCCTCGAACTCACAGAGATTCGCCTGGCTCTGCCTCCCGAGTGCTGGGATTAAAGGCGTGCGCCACCACCGCCCTGCTTTTCTTTCATTTTTTTAACCTTTCTATTTCAGTTTCCTACCTGGGAGTTCTAGAAGTCACACCTCTGGCCTTTGCTGTGCTATTCTTGTTTATCCCCAGATCCCTTTCACCTACACATCCTGTAAGAGGATGGGGGGGGGGGCCGCTATTTACCTGGGAGGCCTATGCTGACGCTCTACCCTTCCCTCCACATCTTCCCTACTACCTCCACTCCCTGGTGAGCTGGGCACCCCACCTTTACGCTCTCCCAGAATCTGGGGACAGAGCCACGAAAACACTGCAGCCCTACAAATGATCGGGGTTCTGGGAGGGGGTCCTTGTCTTGGTGTTTCCAGCCCTCAGTGTATCTGGCACACAGCAGACCTCAACGGATGCTCACTAGTCATCTAGAGCTTCCAACATCTCAACCCTAACCCTGAAGTTCACTTCTCTGAGGCGAGCTATCCACAGCAGGAGAGCCCTGATGGCTCGACTCTGCCTTAGCGTAGGATCGTAGGATCGTATGCATAGTGTTTAAGCTTGAAGCTGTAGGGTAGGCTGGTTCCCCTTGACGGCAGCTTCTCTTTGGAATCAGTTCCTTCTACTAGCCGCTGCTCACTTGACCTCATTAAATAACCTGCCCAGGGGCTTTTGGATATCTAAGCTAATCCACCCAGCAAGTTCCCTTTTTTAGTCACTTGCTGACTTGCTGAGTGAGATTCCAAAAGCTGTGTTTCCTCTCCTGGAACCCTGACAAGTTCCATCAGATGGTAAACACCAAGCCACGAAGGGGAAGTTCTTGGTGAGCTGGAGAGGAGGTGCTCCCAGCTGGGACCAGCACGAGTCGAGTCCGTGGCTGGCTTGGTGGGCTTGCCTCAGGCTGGGCTGGATGTTTGCCAGCTAGGACACCAGCAAAGCAAGGACAGAAGAAAGGATGCCGCGGGTGTGGGACAAAAGCCACGCCGACAGGGAAGAGGAGCATGTGGCCTGCTCGTACATCTTGCAGGGTGGCATCCTTTGCAAGGCCCGCAGCTGGCCCTTATCGGTGGCCCCCATAACTGCATTACAGATGCATGCTGTCTTCATAGGCCACAGCCCAGGAGATAGGGCGTGCCGTAGCATGTAGACCCCGGGGGCAACTGCAACAGACAGGTGTGTGGAAGGAGGCTGGTAGATGGCCTCTGGTCATCTGGAGTGTGAGTCTGGGTCCTGCCAAACACCTGAAGCACCACCCTGTATGTGGCAGGGGAAAGAACACTGAATCAGAATCAGTTTGCTGAGTTCTACACTCAGCAGGCCACACCCAGTTCATCGGACCTCAGTCTCTCTACTTAGGCAACCCCCATTCCCTCTCCAGGTACAGTCAGCTTGAGCACAGTCTGTAGAGTGAGTAACCCTGGCTGCCCCCCGGCCCCTCCTTGTGCAGGACCTCATCCCTCTGCCACTTCTCTGGGTGTTCCTGGAAGGTGACTAGTGGCTCCCCGGTGCAGACAATCGGCTGGTTAACTGTCTAGTTACAGCCCACTGGGCCCCACGGCCTGCTCACCTGCCCACAGCACACCCCTCCCAAGCTGCTTCAGGTTCTATCGCACAACCAGACGTCACCTCTTCCCTTGTCACCCTGTCAGGGGGTCTGCTCCCCTCCCATCTAGTGGATGTTGGGGTGTCTCTTTCCTCTCCACTCACAGCTCAGTTGTTCAGATCCACATGGGGGGAAGGGAGCAGAGAAAAGGGGTTTAGGCCAGGAGACAAAGGGAGAAAGGACATACAGGAGTTTTCCTTCTTCCTCTGAACACGGAGTCTTCATCACCAAGATCACGGGTCTATTCTTCTGGGAAAATTACAACCAACAGTAACAACAACAATAATAACGAGCACCCGACACTAACACAGTGCTGTGTCCCATGCTCTATTCCGAGCACTCACTGTTCAGCCTTGGCCGGCTTGGAACTCAGAAGTCCACCTGCCTCTGCCTCCCGAGTGCTAGGATTAAAGGTGTGCGCCACCACTCCAGGCCTGTCCTCCTAAAACAATAACTCAGAAGTCCATACTTGCGCTGCTCACATTCTTCTGGGTGCAGGCCCATTCACTGGAGACTTGTGGACCTACAAGGGGCCACACCCTTCAACAAGACTGACTCTCTACCCCCCAGGAGCCATCACCTGTCCATAGCTCCTCCGTGAGAGTTGGGGACATGTCCTAGTTTTCCTTTCTGTTGCTGTGATAAAACACTGACCGAAAACAACCTGGGGAGGAAAGGGTTTATTTCAGCTTATAGGTTACAATCCATCACTGTGGGAAGCCAAGGAAGTAACTTAGAGAACCTGGGGGAAGGAGCTGGAGCAGAGGTCATGGAGGAACGCTGTTTAACTGGCTTGCTCCCTCCCCATGGTTTGCTCAGCCTGCTTTCTTATATAACCCAGGACCAGCTGCCCATAGTGCCCACATCAATCATTAATTCTTTTTTTTTTTTTGGTTTCCCGAAACAGAGTTTCTCTATATAACAGTCCTAACTGTCCTGGAACTTGCTCTGTAGATCAGGCTGGTTCAAATTCACAGAGGTCTGCCTGCCTCTGCTTCCCTAGTGCCAGGATTAAAGGCATGTGCCACCACCACCTGGCAATCATTAAATTTTTAAAAATGCCCCATAGAGTTGCCTATAGGCCAACTGATGGAAGCACTTTCTTAATTGATTTGCCCCTTCCCAGGACTCTAGTTTGTGTCAAGTTGAAAAAACCCAGGAGCACAGGGCTCCTGAACCCCTTCTGCTTCCGTGATGGGACACTGACTGGCTTGCTCTTGTGCAGGTCCTGCGCAGACGACAGCCACAGCTGCTGTGAGTCCAACAGTGCAACGGTCCTGTCATGCCAGGAAGACACTGTTCTGCCCCAGTTCTCTCCGACCCCTGGCTTTCACACCTTCCTGCCCCTTGTGTGATTGTTATAGGCATCAGAGTTGAAAACACTTGGAGGAAGTGGATTCTAAGGTTTCCTGACACACTGGGGCTGTCTGGTCTACCAAAAGCTCCTGTCTCAAGAGTTCTCTGTTCCATAGGAAGGGCCTCTCTGGAAGTCCCCTCTGTCCAGAGTCAGAAGGATGCTAGGGGCTGCTTCCCACTGGCTTAGAGTTTTATTTACCTGTTTCCTAGACACCCCGTCTATGTTTGCCCCAGGTAAAGAATTGTACATATAATTTAATGCTGAGAACTGGGGTCAACTAGCAATATGGTTGCCATAGGAGATGCTCAAGAGACATACGGACACTCTAACTTGATAGTCCGGCATGTACTGCCCACAGCATCTTATTTTGTATTCATAATGAAGCATAACAGGTCGAGAAAAGAACTGCAGAACGAGAGCAGCATCCAAGTGTGAGGGCAAGCTGGAGGCCATCCATGCAGTCACCGTCGATAACAGGAAAAGAACAGGGACCCCTTGGGATAGATGCAAGAAACACACCAGAACCGAAGGTAGACCAGGTTGGCAGAGCCAGCCGCTGAGTGAGCAAAGGTGACATTTACATAAACTGTTTCTCTGATGTAGATGGCCACAAACACCTTCCGGACATCCAGTATCCAGGTCCAGAGCCAAGACCAGAGGCTGCTGACACTCTGGCTGGACAAGGACAGCCGCCGCACTTTCCGGGATGTGGTCAGGTGAGTGAGGCTTTCTACCCCAGGACTCTGGTCCCCCGCGGGAAAGTCTAAGCTCCCACAGTCTCCTGTCTTGGGCCCAGGGCACTTATCAGAGTCAGATCTGTAGCCAGGCAGGTTTTAGACCCTAGGACTTGAGCTAGTGCTAAATGTTCCCAGGATTCCTAGGGGCACACACAGCCTCCAAGCCCTCCTGTTCCAGCCCCTCTGTTGGCACTGACCCTTCGTCAGAGGCTCCCCCATTTTGTGACTTTTGCAGGGTTTTCCCCAGGGAGGTAGACACAAAGACACAGTGACCTAGATCCAAGCATCTCCCCGCTCTCAGAGAACACTGGTGGATGATGACTTCCTTCTCTGATTTGTCCTCTGTCTTCTGTGGCCCCCTCCTCTGTACCCTACAAAAATTGGTCTGCCTTTTAGATGTGCTGGGCGAAGAAGGTCCCTGAGATTAGTTTTCTAAGCTGGTCTCTCCCCATTGCAGGTTTGAGGCTGGCCCCTGCCCAGAGCCGTGTTCACGGGCCCAGAAATCCAAGATGGCGGGCCTCAATTCCCATGGGCAGAAGACAGAAAAGAGTATGGCCAAGCTCAGTCCCCTTCTGATGCCCATCAACACATTCTCTGGCATCACCCAGTGAGCCTGCCAGGATAGTGGAAGATCTGGATCCAGGGGCAGCAGACCCAAGAAGAAAGAAACACTACCTACCCACCCACCCGTAACACTCATACTGACAGCCTCACCGGGCAGTTCTGCTTGGACCAGGAGCCAGAGAATACCCGGGAGTTGAGAGAGCCTGGATTATGATGAAGAAGGGGGCATGTGATGAAGAAGGACCTATCCCAAGGCTGTTGGATTTCTGGACAAGGCTGGGATGGAATGAACACATGCACACACAACCCAGTTTCTTCCAGAAACTTCACTCCCACTTCCCAAGCTGTCTTCATGACCAATTCAAGCTCCCTAGGGAATCCTGCGGGAATAGCTGGGTGGTCAACGGTAGAGCACTTGCCTAGTATATGGGAGGCCTTGGATTTGACCCCAGAACCACAAAAAGGGGGTCGGAGCTGATGGATACAATTTTTGTATGGAGTCCTGTGGCTGAGGAAGAAACAGGAAGTAAGCAAGGGACACTGTACCTGCTTCCTGCTGATCTTGTACCATCCTTTCCTGCTCTCGGGCCATGGTTCACCCGTGCTGAGGCGGGTCTGTCTCAGGAGAGAAGATGATAGTATCAATAAAAGCACATTGAAGTGTTTCTGCCTGTGTGTGTGTGTGTGTGTGTGTGTGTGTGTGTGTGTGTGTGTGTGTATGAGTGTGTCACAGTATATGTGTGTAGGTCAGAGGACAATTTGTAGACATTTTTTCTTTCCTTCCGTGGTGTGGGTCCTGGAACAGAACTCAGGTTGTCAGGCTTGGCAGCCAACACCTTCGCCATCCCCACGGCCCTGTTGATACTGTAGAAGCCCTCAGGAGGTGGAACTTAATCTAACCGAATGAATTCACTTAGGCCAGGCAGCCGGTTCGTCTCATATTCGCTGCTGTGATCTGTTCCCCTGCTCTTTCCTCGTCTCATTTTTCTTAACTTCGGGACTCCCTCAAGCCAAGGCAGGAATGCAGGGTAGCTTCAGAGAAACCAGTGATTAAAGACTAAAAAAAATTTTTTGACGTTTCAAATAAAACAAAAAATTGCATCTCCAGGTACAAAAGATCAAGGACAAACAGAACTGTGGTGTCCTCGGCCCTTTCACCAGTTGCAGGGTGGGAGAGAAGCAGGAAAAGTCCAAGGGGCTTCGACTCGAGTGCCGCCCTGTCAGCTAGATCGAGTCCCAGAGGACGGTGACAGGGAGGGTGGTAAGGGTCCCTTTGAAATTAGGAATCTCTGTCAGTTACTCTTCACGGCCAAAAAGCAACCGGAGAAAGAAAGAGTTCATCTTGGCTCACGGTTCCAGAGGAACGCGAGTCCATCATGGCAAGAAGGAACGGCGGCAAGCAGTGGGCATGGCAACGGGAAGCAGAGAGCTCATACCTTAAAACACGTGGGTGAAGCAGAGAGGACACACAAGGAGACAACTTTAGACTCTCAAATCCCTTGCCAGGAGTGGTGGCACAGGCCTTTAATCCCAGCACGTAGGGAGCAGAGGCAGGTGGGTCTCTGTGAGTTTGAGGCCAGCCTAGTCTACAGAGTTCCAGGACAGCCAGGGCTTTGTAGTGAGATCCAGTCTGTTGTTATTGGTTTTGTTTTTTTGAGACAGCCTTGTCTTTTTTTAGTTTTTGTTTTTTCCAGACCCTGACAGTTTCTCGTGCCTGAGGCAGTCCAGGGACCCGGCAGGGCCTTTGTTTTGTCTTGCTTTTGTTTTTTTGTTTGTTTGTTTTTGTTTTGGTCTTTTCAGTTTTTCTGAGACAGGGTTTCTGTCTGTAGATCAGGCTATCTTGAACTCAGAGATTCACCTGGCTTTGCCTCCTGAGTATTGAGATTAAAGGCATGCACCACCACATTCTCCCAGGCATAGGGCAAAGTCCCATGACCCATCCCCAAACCAAGAATGATGTAAGTAGGGCTCTGAGGTTAGCTCCCATACAGGCCCAAAGACAGTCTAAGTTTATGAAGTCTCTGCTCCCCCATGGGCATGGGAAGCAAGGGACATTTTCTCAGGTAGGCAGAATCAGACAAGCGCAAGGGGAATCACAGAGAAAAGAATGCATTTTGGGAAAGAGTGTGGAGTTTGGCAAGCGAGGGCAATGCCTGACTGCAGAAGAAGGAAGGGTTGAGGGGGCAGTCGTCAGTGTTTGGAAACTGGTAATGATGACAATCTCACTCATTTTGAGCTGGGCTTTTATTTTTTCTGCACTGAGGTGATGTGAACTGCTTCATACCAGTTTGAACATTCACAATAATTAGTTGTGTGTGTGTGTGTGTGTGTGTGTGTGTGTGTGTCTGGTTAATTTATTGGTTGACATTTTTGAGGCAGGGTCTCGTGTAACTAAGGCTTGTCTTGAACTCTTGATTTTCCTGCTTCCAGCTCCAATGATGGGATTATACGACTAAACCACCACATACCATTAATCATTTGGTTTGTCGGGTTTTTTTGCTTAGTTTTGTAAACGAGGTCTCACATAGCTGAGGCTGATGGTGAACTATCCTGCCCTCCAGCCCTCAAGAGTTGACTCACAAACAAGTATCCCCACACACAGCTAGCAATCCTTAAGTTTTAAAGTAACCATTACGAGTCTGTCAGTCAGAAAGGTTAAGAGAAAGTGCTGGGGATCTTAGCTCTCTACCAGTTTACAGTGAAAGCCATTATTGAATCAGGTTCAGCTATGTGTACATACCAGTCGGCAAACACCCTCACCCTCCAGTCCACAGCCAAATTAGGTGCACTGAGCAAGCCTTCAATGAAAGTTGACCAAATCAGGCTAGGACGTAGCTCAGTGCTAGAGTGCTTGCCTAGCATTCATGGAGGCCCTGGGTGTGAGAATAAAACAATTACTAAATCAGTAGCTAGATGATTGGCCATTTTGGAGGAGGTCACACCTTTTCTCGGGGCTGCTTACATGTGATGAAATAGTTGTATGGTCTGGGAGCCAAAATATCTGCCTCCCTGGGAGTTTTGGTGCTGATGAAAAACAATAAGGTTAACAGAGGGATTATAGACAAAAGTGCACTTGATAACAGCAAAGCAGGGGAGTGGAGATGTAAGTCCTGGTGATAGCCGGACAGGATTTCGATTTCACTTACAATAAACAGGACCAACTTCTGCAGATGGCCACTGACCAGTGGGCCTCTAAATGCAGACCTGAGGACTAGATGTGCGGACGTCGTTCACCCCATTCTTCTCCGCCCAGCCTCATCCCTCTCCTGACCCTGACAGTTTGTCATGCCTGAGGCAGTCCAGGGACCCGGGAAGGCCCGTGGCCAAGCTCCAAACGCGCCCAGCTACTCACAGGTGGCGCAGGTGCAGCGCAGGTGGGGGGGGCGCAGGTGGGGCGCAGGTGCGGCAGGTGGGGCCAACAGGTGCGCGGGCTCCGCCCCCGCCATGCCGCACTCCTGGGGCGGGGCCACTTCCGGGCGGGTGGCCGGACGTGGGGGGTGGGGGGAAAGCAGCCGTTGGCTAGGTGACCCGAGGCGACGCCGGGGGCTGGAGACGCCGTCCGAGTGGCTCGGAACCCTGAGCCCGCGATCCTCCCTCCCCGGGATATGGAGTCCCGCGCGCCCCGCGTCCGGCTTGGTCCTGGGCCCTTCCGGGTCTGACGGAATCCCGCAACCATGAGCCGCAACCCGCAGTGGGACGTCCCCAGGGCACTGGGGGTGGCCAGGCTCTTCCACTTGGTGTGCGGGGTCCGGGATGCCTGTGTGACCCCGTTCCTGACCCTCTACCTGAGGCAACTGGGTGTGGCCGCGCCCTGGGTGGGCGTCCTCATGGGAACCAAGCACCTGGTCGCAGCCTGCTGGACTCCCTTCTGCGCCTTCCTGGCCAGACGCTACCAGAAAAGGCGAATGTTTCTGACCGGCTCATTGCTGGGCTCCGCAGGAGCCAGCCTCCTCATGGTCCTCGTCCCACCGGTGGACAGAAACCTGGCCAACCACTTTTGTAATGGAAGCAACAGAATGGCCACCACTGTCCTACCACTGGGGGTCACACGGTCTGTGACCATGACCTCCGCCCAGGGGTCAGTCCCAAACCACTGGGCAGGAGGAGCACCCAGCCTCCCAGGCAGCAGACACACCAGAGCCCTGGACACAGCTATCTTTCCAAACGGATCTGGTAAAAATCAAGAACGGATACTGCGCGGTCTACAGGCCTATTTGGCTGGCTCTGTTGAAGGAGCCAGGACCACTACGCAAGCTCTCCATCCTGTCGCTTCTGGGTGGAGAGCTAATGCCCAGGAAGGGACTTTTGAGGTGGACAGTGCTACCCTGGGTCCACTTCCTGGAAGTACAGCCCTTGGAAGTCCAGGCAACTTGTCAGAGCCCCAGGGGGATGTCCAGACCCTTGACCACTCCTGGAAAGGGCCGCAGTGGACCTTCATCCTCTCCTTGGGGTTTGTGGTATTCTGGGAACTGCTGACAGCCCCTCTGGAGCAGGTGGCAGATGACAGTCTTTATGAATACCTGGATTTTGTGGACGCCACTGACCGGAACAGAAACCTGTGGATGTGGAGAGTGTTGGGAATGTCAGCAGGGGTGTGCGGCATTGCCGCCCTGGTGGGGCATCTGGAATGCTACCTCGTGACCAATGGTCCTCGGGGCGTGATTCATTTCTACAGCTACTCGCTGGTCAGTACTCTGGCCTTGGTGGTGAGCACGGCCTTTCCTGTCCCCATCGACCAGCAGCAGGGGCCGAGCTACAGAACCATCAAAGCCCTGTCCCTCATAAGGAGTGACTCCCGCCTCATCCTCCTCGCCTTCATTGTCTTTTGGGTAGGAGCCACTGCCAGCGCGGTGCAGAACTTCCTGTTCTGGCTCATGAAGGACCACGGCAGCAGCGAGCTGGTGATGGGTTTCTCGGTGGCTCTCGCCTTGCTAGGAGAAGTTCTGTTTCATCTGTTCAGAGCTTCGCTGCTCAGGAAACTGTCGAGGGTGGGCGTGCTGGGGCTGGGGCTGGGCTGCCTGGCTCTGCAACTGTTGTACTATTCTTTCATCTGGAGCTGGTGGTCTGTCCTTCCCGTTCAGATCCTGAGTGCCATGAGCAGTGGGGCTCTGTGGTGGGCCGTGGGGGCCTCCATAGAGGACCTGGCCACCTCTGGCGTGGAGAGGTCTCTGAGCACCATGTTCCGAGGTCATTTCTACGGAAGCGGCTGCAGCCTAGGCAGCTTTGTGGGGGGCTTCGTTGTCATGCACTTCGGCATAGCTGTGCTCTACCAAGCCTGCTGCGTGGTGCTCCTGCTCTGGCTGGCCTTGCTCCTGTCCACCCAGCCCAGGCTGCCCCAAAAGCGGAGGATCAACTACTCCAAGCTGCTGGCTATGGAGGGAAGCGACACGAGCGGCTCCGAGCAGGGGTCGGAACGGGACTGGCTGGTAAAGGCCATGAGGGAGGAGCACGTGGACTGGAAGGGCTGAGAGGTCCCGGGCACACTGGAGGAAAGCACTCGTGGGTGGGACGGGACTCCCGCTCTGGACTACCGGGGGCCTCAAGGGAGAGAGCCATGCCTATGCCAAAGTCACAACAGGGTCTGCTCGTTGCCTGATTTCACTTTGTAGTAAAAGGAGGTTTTTACTTTTTTATTTTTTACGTGTCTGTATACATGTGTGTACGTGTGTGTGTGTGTGTGTGTGTGTGTGTGTGTGTGTGTGTGTATACGTGCAGGCCCAAGGACAACCTCACTTGTCGTCCTCAGGAACGCCATCCACCTCTTTTGAGACAGGGTCTCTCACTGGTCTAGAGTTCACCATTTAGGCAAAAACTGGCTGGTCAGCACACCCCAGAATCCTCCTCCCACCTCATCCACCTCCCCATCATACCACCATGCCTTCTGTCTTTACACGGTGTTTAGAGATCAAACTCAGGTTCTTATGTTTGCAAAGGCTGCTTTCCTGATGGAGCAATCTCCTCGGCCCAAGGTTTCATTTTATTTTATTGCCATATAAACTCTTTAGAATATGGCGGGACACATTTGCTTTTGTAGAAAAGTTCCTTTGTGTCTGCTAATTTTGACCTGGGAGGCTTTCGAGGGCTTTCGGTGTAGGACGCTGATGCAAATGGACCCGGCAATGGCACAATGGCAGACATGTCATGGCATTAACCAGGAATGACAATTAAGGAAGACAACAGGCCCCCTAGGATGCTGTGGACAGGGAGGGAAGCTGATCTAGATGGGTCATGAGCCTTCCTGGAGGGAGGGGGTCCCTAGCCTAATCCTATAAAAGCTATGCTGAGGGCAGAGAGAATGGTACCCAACCCTGAACCCCACCCCCAAATTTCTTACTATCAAATGGATGTGCCACCAGGAGAAGGACACTGAGAATCCCACATCCCTCCCTGCAAGAGCACATGGAGATTTTAACATCCGCTTTGATTAGGATGTAGTATTACTGAACTTGTTTTGACTCTCAGGCCTTTGTTCCAGAGGCCAGTTTTTGTTTTTTCTAAGACAGGATCTCTCTACATAGCTCTGACTGTCCCAGAGCTCACTCTGTAGACCAGGCTGGCCTCAAACTCACAGAGATCTGCCAGCCTCTGCCTCCCAAGTTCTGGGATTAAAGGCGTGAGACACCATGCCTGGCCTCAGAGGAAAGTTCTTTACATCTTAATTCTTCCAAGTTATAATCAAGAAAATAGGGATTAGAGAGACAGACGACTCAGTGGACCTAAGTTCAGTTTCCAGCATAAGTGTGTGGGATCACAACCATCTGTTCAGGGGATCTGTTGTCCTCTTCTGGCCTTTGTAGGGACTGCATGCATGTGGCTCTCAGACTTACATGCAGGTAACAAAATAAAGCTAACAAACACATAAAAAAAATTTTTTAAGTTAAGAAAATGTAGAATATTAGATTCAGGAGCCTGGCTGTACAAATGCAAAGTGATTCATGGGTCGGGAAGAGAAGGAGATGTATGACTGTCCTCTGGTGGGGACATTTTCTAGGATTTGCCTTTTTCCAATCCTTTCTGTGAAGCCTTAGGATACAGGTAACTAACACAAACTCACCTCTGCCTTAGGCAGACTCGTTCGCCTCACATCAGAGATCCAGGGGGGCGGCAACCCAGAGCTGACAGCCGCTCGCTGATGGCAGAGAGAGCCTGTAACCCCATCATCTCGGGGCCCTGCCACACTCAGCTTGTCCCCACCCATGTCTGTACCTCATCGTCAGGTGCCCCGTCCACCTGCCAGGCTGTAAGGAGATGGGGAGATGACAAGAGAAACAGAAGGAGGAAAGCAACAGCCTTCCCAGGACCCATTAACTGACTTCTGATAAACTCCATCACATGGCCAGCCCGAGTGGAAGGGAGTCTGGGAAGCTGTTTTAAATTGTTATTTATTATTATGTGTGTGTGATGTGTCTGTGAATGCGGACACACATGTTGTGCCACAGAGCATGGGTAGACGTCACAGGACAACTTTGCAGCATCAGCTCTCTCCTTCACCATGCATGCTGCCGGTTGAACTTGGGTCCTCAGGCTCCTGCACTTTGCCTACTCAGCCATCTCCCTGGCCTGGGACTGGAGTCCTTTCATCCTGGCACAGTAGTAGCCCAGAAAAATTCTGGGTTGCTGTAGGAAGAAGATGGGGTGGGTACAGTACCGGCACGTCGGATTGTCTTCTGCAGGCATCCAGACCCCTGCCATTCTGAAGTCTGTGCTCTGTTCACCCCAGCAAGCCAGCTTCTCCATAGATATGGCGTCAACCATTTGGCCCCCGCAACAACTGAATAAATGGATTGATTTTAAATCTTCAGTGTGGGGCCTGGAGGAATGGTGCCGCCATTAAGAGCACTGGCTGCTCTCTCAGAGGACCTGGGTTTGATTCCCTGCGCCCACCTGGCAGTTATAGAGGCTCTGACACTGTCTTCTGGCCTCTTCACGCACCAGGCACACACATGGTGTACAGATACGCACTCAGGCAAAACACTCACACAACATAAAATAAGTTTAAAAAACTTCCATTTTACAAACGAGAAAACAAAATCTCAGGAAAATCCCCCATTGGGTCATGGCTGAGACACAACCACTGCCCTGTCTCCTAATCCCAAATTTGGGGCATTCTCTTCTGTGCCAGAATCTCCCAATTTAGCTGTCCCCCATCCTCCCTGAGTCTGAGAGTACATAGAAAAAGATGGACTCCCAGGAGCCATCAGGGTCTTCTGGGTGAGGGCCAGAATTCCCTCTCTCTCTCTCTCTCTCTCTCTCTCTCTCTCTCTCTCTCTCTCTCTCTCTCTCTCTCAATCCCCAAGTGGATCTGATGTGGTTAATCAAGTCCTTGTCCATTTGGTTCCTCTTTCCATGGCTATCTAGCTCACCAAATGCTTTCCTGGTTACCTCGGGCCAAACACTGTCATCTGTGCTAGCTCGGTTAATCTTCACTCACAAGATGTAGTCACCATTACAAATGACAAAGCTCATGGGCACCTTACTTGAGGCTCCATAGGAAGC